GGGCCCCGCCCTCTCCACCTCCTCCCCTGCGGCCCCCGGCCGACCGGCTCCGCCGCAGTGAGAGGGGCGGGGCAGGGGGGCCACGGAGTGAAGGGGAGTCGACGCGGCGTCAGAGGAGACCCCCGAGGTCGGGACAGCGAGTAGAGGACTCCCGGAGTGGACTGTGGGGACCCCCGGGTGAGAGTCGGAAGACCCTGCTAGTGTGTTCGGAATAAGAGAAGGGACCCGAAGTAGGGAGAGGACAAGGAGATCTGATAGGAACAGGAGGAGGGCGCCCTCGGGATGCAGTCATTAGACTGAGGGGATTCCTACGTGGGAGAGGACACAGGTTTTCCGAATAGTTAGAGGGGCCCTCAGAATAGGGGGGTGCAGCCAGCCCCGGAAGAGGGGAGAGGGTAAGGCAATCTGAATGGGGGAGAGACGCTACAGAGACAGAGATAGGGACCCGTGACCCAAGGTACGGTGTTTCTTTAATAGTTAAACAGCCACCAGGAGAGGGCTCAAAAAACTCTGCCCCCAACTCCGGGATAGGGGAGGAGGACTTGGAGTTGGGGAGGACCCTGAATGGGGGTATGGAAGTCACTGCAGAGGATGGAGAAAGGGAATCCCGGATGGGGAGGGGGCAAAGTGTTTCCCAGAAAGTCTACAGTGGCCTCAGCATAGGATGTGGGAGATCCTACAGCCAGCCTCAGCAAGGGGGACCCTCAAGGAAGGGGGCAGAAGGTCTCCTGAATAGGTAGAGAGGGACAGAGAACTCAGAGCGGGGGTGCTGCAGGGGACTGGGAAGTTGGGAGAGCTAGCCTCTGTGTGGGATGGGGGAAGTGACGAGTGTGGTAGAAACCACCCAAGCCAGGTTCTGCATGCTGGGGTTAGCACTGCAGTTTGCTGGCTAAATGACCTTGGGCAAGCTGTGTCCTCCCACCTTTGATTTTCCCATTTATACAAGGAGGGGATCTTGCCCCCGGGACAGGCTGCAACTCGAGTCCCCTGCTGTCCCAGGAAGTTCCACTTTGGGGGAGTTCTCCAGCTGATCTGGGGAAGGGAAACCTACATATTGTCTGCGGATATGGCAGCCGCTTTCCTACAACTGGGACGTTCGTCTTCCTCCCTCCTCCCTCCCCATCTCCTCAGCTTCTAATTGTCATCTCCCCCAACCCCCACACCAGACAAGCAGGCGCCTCCATAGGCATTCTTTCTTGCTCCCAGGGAAGTGGTGGGATGCTTTCTGGATGCCAGAGTCCTTCACCCCATGAGCCCCAATAGGAGGTCACATAGAAAAAGGGGTCCCAGGGATTTGGAAGACCTTGCAACAGCTGTATTATTTGGCTCTTTCTCGGTTTTGGCTCTCAAGCAGATGCCTTGCGAATGGGGGCAGCGCTGCGGCTGGCACTTCAGCACCAGGGACAGGGCCTGCTCCTGGTCGAGGAGAAATAGGTGCTCTACCTTTACCTGGGGGAGGGAGGGAGGCATGCTATGCAGACAGGGGCTGAGGAAGGGTGGGTGAGTGACCCAGTAGGGTCACACAATGAGCCAGGGACCCACCCAGGACTTTCTGTAGGGGTCCAGTTCCCTGTTTTCTGTGATGTTCTCACACACACACACCTGATCTGTCCCCCTCCTCCATGGAGGGCTTAAGGGATCTCTGGAGATGCCGGAGCCCTGAGACCCCTTGAGAGTCTATAGATCCCTCTCCCAAATCTGAACCTCCTCCAACAGCTATCTCAACTCCGCCTGCACCCTCAGTTGACCCTGGTTTCCTTCTGTGGGACCCTTCAGGACAGGGACGGACATTCCCCAGGAGTGACTGTTGCCAGAGCCTTCTCTTTGCCCTCTGTCCGATTCTCAACTCCCTGGTTTGAGCAGACCCTCAGAGCTGGGGAAGTGAGGGTGCTGTGCCTTTAACCACGTTTTACTGGAAGGAGAGTGCGCTGGGAAGGAGGGAAGGGGGAGGGAGTTTCTGGTTTTGCATGAAGAAGCAGAACGTGATGAAGCATTTTCCTCCCATGTAAAGATCTAGCTGTGCTCCAGCTCGCAGGGGGCAGAGGACTGGTTTGCAGGTGGTGCTGGGAGGAGAGAGGTGAGTGACTGGTCTGAGGCTTCTGAGAAAGTTGCAGGGGAGGGGTGGGGGCACAGGCAGGGCCCCCTCGCTCTCACATGGCTCCTTGTTTGTCATTCTGCTTGGAATTTTGCCATTAGAGCCTCATTCCTTTGGGTCTTTCCAGTCTACAGAATGCTGATACAATCTTTAGATGTGACAGGGCTTGCAAGCAACTGACAGCAGGAGGAATGGTAGGGGGCTGGAGTAAAGGGGAGCCCAAGATAGAGTCTGTTGAGGCCAGGGGATCACAGCCATTAGATTGCAGCTGCCTATATTCCAAGAAGTCTAGGTTTAATGATTCTTGTGGCTGGAAAAACGGCATGAGGGCTGGAACCCTGGAGTCAGTCTTCCAGAGGGTCCTTCAGCCTCGCCTCAGGAAGCCATCTCTGGTCTCCTTCATCCCCGCGTTTTGTTATTATCCCCTCCCTTGTGCTCCCATGGTTCCCAGTGCTAATCCTGAGCATTGTTCTTGCCACACTGTGTTGTATGAATGAGTAAATCCCATCTGTTCTCCAGCTAGACCTGTATCTAGAGGGGACTGTGAATGTTTCTGCCCTGAGTCCTTGGGGCTCTGCTCACTTTCACCTTCCTCTCTGTGACTCTTACCATCTGGAAGTGAGTAGGACAACATAGTCATCCATGCATCTATCCATCTCATGCTTACTGGGCATCTGTTATGTGATAGCATACGCTAAACTTGGAGGTTACAGAACCTCATTAGCTCCCACAGTTGTCTCTCTAGGACAAGGATTCTCAAGTTCTCCCCAAATCCCAGTCCACTGTTTCCCAAGGCATCTTCAGGAGGATAATGGCTATTCCTCTAAAAAGGAAAAAAGGGCGATTCATAGCCAAAGGAGTGAAACTGGATTCTTGGAGCAGATCTTCCCTGAGATTGGACATGGTGATGAGCATTGGGACTCTCCCGGAGACAAGTAGAGTGTGCAAGTTTGCTAAACCCATGTGCATGCATGCCCTTCTTGTCCTTGTCCCAATCCCCATGTGTCTGCAGGACAAGGGTCCAGTGTCAGGTGGCGTGGTACAGGGCATTTCTCTCTCCTTGCCTGTCTTCCCTCTCCACATTCCCAGCCTCTCACCTTCTTTTGCCCCTCAGTACACACTCAGAATCAGGCCTCAGCCTCTGCTGTCCCTGGACTGTTGTTCAGGCTCCTGTGGGCCCCAAGATATGCTCTTCAGGAATATACTTGCATGGTGCAGGACAGGGCAGTAGAGCTTTTTGTGGACATCCAGCAGCACTGCTGTTCCTCATTTCACTCACACAGCATCTACAGGATTAGACCCTGTGGGGAACCCTGGGGATTCAGAAAGACTCCAGTGTGAGAAAGTCCCTCCCACGTGGACAGCAGGGAGAACTCAACCGCCACTTGATCCTTGGTGCCTCCTCAGATCTTGTTCACTAGACAAGGATCGTTGCCACTGTTTTTTTGTTGGTTTTTTTTTTTCAGGGAGTCTCACTCTGTCGCCCAGACTGGAGTGCAGTGACCGCTCCCGGCCACCGCAGCCTCGACTGCTGGGATCCAGAGATCCTTCCGCCTCAGCCTTCCGAGTAGCCGGAATTGCAGGCGTGTGCTACCATGCCCGGCTGATTTTTGATTTATTGTAGAGATGAGGTCTCGCCAAGTTGCCCAGGCGGATCTCGAACCCATGGGCTCAGGCAATCCACTCACCTCAGCCTCCCAAGGTGCGGGATTACAGGCTGAGCCACCAAGCCCAGCTTGCCACTGTTTTGTAGACAAGTAAACTGAGGCCAGAGTGAGGAAGTAAGTTTCCTGGGTTGGCTCAGTGGCAGAGCAGAGCCCAGTGTGTCTGCTCACACAGGCCTATTTCTCTTGCACAGTAGAGATC